GGGGGGGCGAGAGGGGGATGCCGACGCAGCGGGACAGCAGCGGCAACAGCACCATGTCGGCTCCGGGCGGCGGAGGGGGCGGCCTCGGCGGAGACAGCGCCCACCAGGTCCGGGTGAAAGCCTACTACAAGGGGTGAGTGAGGGCGCGGGGGGCGGCCGGGCCCCGGTGGGCGGCGGACGCCGTGAGGAGAGGGTTATGGTAGGGCCGGTAGAGGGTGGGGGCGGTGGGGTTTAGCGGGGAGCCGGTGGATCGTCCTGAGCACCCCCGGGTCTCCCTCCTCCTGCCGAGGCCTTCCCGGTAAACAGGGGTGTACCGGAGGGGCCTCTCACCCCGCTACCCCCGCACCCCCAGGCCCTGGGTGCTGACCCGCTGGCAGTAATAAGAGTAATAAGTTCATATCCCTTCATAACGCTTTGTTTGGGGGGGGCACATACCAAAATATGTGTCAAAATACTTCAAAAAATGCATTCCGGACCCTGGTCTCTGCGTGTTATGTGATATTCAGGTCTAAAGGAATAGGGTGTTGGGATGAAAAACCTATTTAATCAGTTTTTAGGCTGTTTTCCAGGGACTGAGTGGCTTCCAAGGGAGTCTGTGAATGATAACTAAGACGCATCTACTGTCAGTTACGCTTCTGCTTTAAAAAAATTATACACACTAGAGGTCTGCGCAGTGGAAATCTGAATATTTCTCATCGAATTCAGTGGCTCTCCAACAGTAACATGTAAGGCAGAAGAAATGTTCTGCTTTGCGTTCACAATCTCCTATTAAACAGTAACAGTTACAGGATCTCAGTAGGTTTGAGTGCAAGGGTTGAGAATGGTTCATTGGGCTGTGGAGTCTGAGAGGAGGTGATCTAAGCAGGAAAAAATGTAGGTTGCGTTTTTGGGTTAAGGTTGAAGACATGCTTCTCTCGACAGCTTCCTTCCAATTAGCTGTGCTAAGTACAAGAAAAGATTTATTATGTTTACAGTACTTACTCTCTGGTATCTCTAGCTTTATCGTTTTAAGGAGAGGTGTAGAAACCATGCTGAGCATTTGGTATTTGCTATCGTGTTTAATTTCTGGCTTGTGTCTGCTTTGGGGTTTCTAGTTACAGAAGTCTGTGGAAGTACTGCAGAGACTGGCACAATCTGTGACTTTAAAGGACGTGTGAAACGCTGTCAAAGTAATAGTGTGTGAAATTCTAAGCTCTTTGTTTTACAGTCCCTTTAATCCACCATTTCTTGAGGACTCGGAGATGCCCCTGGCTATTAGCTGGCAGAGCGTTCATTTGGTCAGGCAGGGAACTAAAGTGTGAAGTCTTCTGGGTTAAAACCATTTATTTTTCTTCTGCTGGGTCGGTTTTAATCTTGATCATTTCCACATGCAATCACATGAATTCTTGCTTTAGCCCAGGGAGGTTATGGTGCAAGAACAGGGAGAAAGCAGCTCAGGGTTGTGGGAGTGAGGAAGAAAACTGCTATGTTGCAGGAATGCTGGCTCACGACACCTTTAATGTTAGGTAATAATTTCCCAGGCACTGGAATGTTTCTTTTGAGTTTCATGTATTGACTTTTTATCAGTTAATGCAATTATCATTTGCTTTTAATAACGTCACTGAGTCATATAGGGTGTTGGTTAACCATTGTGAATACCAACAAACTAACAATCTGAATGCCTTAGTCATGATTTATTTATGTTGAGATCTAAAGAAATTATTCTCCCCCTTTTCTTAACACAGAAGGTCCAAGCCCCTTCTCAGACTGACACGATCAAGAAGTGTGGGTATCAAAGCAAAGTGTTTCACCTGGACTTAAAATAAAATGACATGGAGACTGAGGATCTAAATGCTGATATTAAAGGCAGCTTTTTCGCTTTTTGTCAAATAAACTGTCTCAAGATTAAAGCTGGATAGAGGATTTAATGGGAAATAGTGTTAATCAGGAAATGTTAATCTCTCTTAATTTCGTTTTAATAGAAGTATTTAAGTGGGTTGTAGAAGTTATTGTGAAAGCCTTGCTAGGAAGGTCTTTCCAACTTCCAGAAGCAGTTTCTGCTTGAAGAAAAAAAAAACAAAACAAAAACCCAGCAACTCAGAAGCACAGATTTGTTCCTGAAATGGTTGGGAATCCGATAGTCAGGACACTCCCCTGGGGCTGGAGACACTGAGCAAAGAGCCCAACCTGAATTCTTCAAACATGGCTGAGTCTGGCCCAGAGCCTAATTGCTTTTCTCAGCCAAGACAAAGGCTTTCATGAAGAACTCTTTGAAGGGTCTTTGTTTCATTCATCGTGCAGTGGTAATTCTTTATCTTAAATTCATGAAGAAGGAAAACCAGGAAGGAAAATTTTCCTAAAATGAACACAGATCATGAGAATAAGAGGACGGGAATTCCCGGAGAGTTGGGAATTAGGGCATTGGGTTGAGTTTATCCAGGTATTTCCTTCTTTCAGGTAAGCTACGCTTCTCTTTCTCATAGGGCTGGTTGTTTCAAATTCTGAAAATACTTTTACCTATTTTAAAGAGTTACCATAAGCTGTGCAGTTACATAATAGAGGTTCCTGAGTGAGCTCTTAGGAATTGAATTTATTATACCAAATGTTTACATACTTTTTTGTTGACAGAGTAACAAAGCGTAGCAGCTTCAAATGTGTGGCACCGAACAGCACCTGTAATTACAACCATTTCACCTTTCCAATATTATTCAAGGCTTACCTTTTGTCTTATCTCATTTGTTGAAGATGCTTTTTGTCAGCTCAGTACAAAAGCTACTACATCATTAATACACATGGGGAGGATTGTATTGTAGCAGTAGAGAGCAAGTAGGAATAATACACTGCTTGTGCACTAGGAATCCAGTAGAATTAATGTTGTTGATTTAAAAAAAAAAAAGAAACCAAACCAACCAAACAATGCATCCTTTCCTTATATTGCTCTTTGTCTTGAGCACATTCCGGTCAATTCTTCACCTCAGTGGTTTTCATTGTGGATCAAGTTCCTCACAGGAGAGTGTTCAACTTAAGAAAACTTTGGTTTAAGCCTATGAACACATTTTCACACCTTCTTGCACATTCAATGTTGGTTCATTTTCTGTTAATACATTTTTATTTTTTTCCAGAAAAATAGATTGCAAGAGCAGGCAATTTGAGACTTCTGACTCCCAGTGGGGAAAGAGGTGCTTCAGATTGTTCTGAATGGCAGAACATTGGCATTGAAGTGATACTGAACTGGCAGAATTCTCCAGGAGTCTTGTATGGGTTAATTTCTGTGAGCTGTAATGAGATATTATCAAAAGCTTTAATGACTGACCCAGGTGTGTGATAAATATCTGGATATGTAGATAATATGTGATGATGTATCTGTATATTTCCATCTACATAATATGTGATAGCTACATTAGGCTGCAGGTGGAAAAACCTAAAGCAGTGGAGTCCCTGTTCTGACAGTGGATTGTTCTCTCACAGAGGTTTCCCTCAGAAGGGAAGAATGAGATATGAATATTGAATTGCATTTAACTGTTGGCATTGGGGGTTTTTGTTTGGTTTGTTCATTTGCTTGGTTATGGGTGGTGTGTGTTTGTTTTTCTGATAAAGGATGTTATGGCTTTGAATGATCTGTGAAAGAAAAGGCAAGAGAAAAGCTCTTTGACCTCAGAGGAAAAGTGGGGAAAATAGGGATGAGGTTCATGGTTTTCTAGAGATACTTCAAATCTGTTCTCTGGTGTTCATGTTTAGATTTATCTTTTGCATTTTCTCTGTCTTCCTGTGGTTTATCTTTTACTGAGTCTCACAATTGTAGGATGATGATTCAAGCAGGCCTTTTATTAGTATGAATAATGCAATCCTTTATTAATATTGATGGGAAATATAAATGGCAACATCTTAAAGTAGTTCAGGACAACTTCTCTCATTTATTTGCATATTTCCTACTTGCAGGTCCCTGATAATAACCTTTTATAATAAATTCTAAAAACCTGGTGCTTCTATAGCTAATAGTTAATAGAGTTAATTGATGCATCCAAACGTGGTGGTGCAAAGAGTGTGCTCGAATCAGATTTTCTTATAATTCCCTGTGTGTGTCAGGAGGAGACAAATGAGGACCTTATGCCTTAGAATAGCTTTATAACAAACCTGCTTATTAAAAGTGGGGCATAAGCTTATCCTCATCAGAAGGAAAGGGCTGTTGTCAAGAAATTTTTTCACGTGTCTTAATGAAAGAAAGCATTTTGTATTTTTTCATGCAAGGCAGCAGGCTATGGTCTGCGTTAGCTTTCCTTGGTTCTTTAACGTAACCTACTAGTTTTTCCTCAAAATGCCGCATTTTTTCTCAGTGGAGTTTAACTTTGTCTTGAGTGAATACAGCTTGTTCCAAACGAAGACATCATCAACGTGGTGTTAGGTGCCAAGAAGTGTGGAAAGCACCGTGTAATGCAAAGGTGTGATGGCAGACCTGCTCTGGAAGTGAGACCTGTCTCAGTAGAAATTGTCAGTGTCATCAACACAGTTAAAATGGCAAAATAAAGCTGGTAGAGAGACCTGTAATCTTTCAGTTTCTGTGGTACGTGAAGCTGGCTTCATGTGTCTAGGAAAAGTATGCTAGGTGTTGCTTGTAGAACTTTACTCGTGCTTACTTACATCTTATTTTTCATATTCCTATTAGCTGGGGTTCTCCCAAATGTACTGAGCAACTGACACATGTCTCATTGGAGGTATTACAGTAGTAATTTAGAGAACTTAAAATTCTAAAATAATTAAACTCCTTTTATTTGAAGGGCAACTATTTTGCTGCTTGAAGGTAGCAACAAGTAGGAAGTGTGGGGGTTTTATTTCATTTGGTACCAGCTTTTACTTTACAGATACGGGAGGATTCCTGGGCTGTTCAGTACATCTTAACATTATGACTTTTTCTGTTCACTATAGTACAGGTAAATCTGATTTAAGTGGACTTACCAGATTTGAAAACCTGGACAGTTTTTGCTAATATAGATTATTTTTTTAAAATATATGTTTGTTGGTTTTTTTAATCCTCAGTTTTCACTACAGCATCAGTGATTACAGTCTCTTGAGATTTTAATCTGTCACCTCTTTTTGTTTGTCTGACAATGATAGTCATGTAGTCACTGCTGCTTTTAACAAACCTTCTCCCATTCCTGACTAGTTCAGTCATAAAATACACAGCAGTAGTTGAAATACTTAACTCTGACTTTTCAGTGCCTTTCAGAACTTAACTTCTTGTTTAGGAAAATATTCCAGACTTTTCAGTGCCCTTCACAACTTAACTTCTTGTTTAGGAAAATATTCCAAAGTGAATATATCTGCGCCAAAATGTGAATAAATGAAGGGATGGTAAACTTTAGCACAAGATCAGTGGAGTTTCTAGGTGAGCAGTGCCTTGTTTCCTTCCCTGACAAACAGGAAATACAGGTTAAGACTTTGCTTCCTAATACAGGCTCCTGGGTTTCTCTCTGGCTGATGCCTGGGTGTCTGTGACAGTAACACACTGTTAAGTCCCCCTCGGTTCCTAGACACAAAGGTTGGCACTGGGTTGGCAGCTTGTGCTTTTTTGGGAGAGGATGCCAAGGGAGACCTTTGTGTCAGAGAGAACACGGTTTTCCTTGTGGGATGGGCACAATTGAGGGTCTCACACAAAGCCCCATTTGCCCCAAAGTACTGCACTGTGTCGAAATCCTGGGGTCCAAATACTGTTTTGTTTTGTATTTTGTCTCGAGTGGAAAGAAGAGGAGCAATTCCTCAACCAAATAATGTAGCAGCTTTTTGGCTGGTTTATTCAGGCTATTGTAGAGGTGTCATTTTGCTATCCTAACCGTTTACTGGAGTCTTTCCCCTAACTAAACTAACTCTGACCATGCTCATAAACCCAGAAGTAGGCTAGCTGTTCTACTGGAGTCCTTAGAAATTGCCAGTTTATTTTATTTTACTCATGCTGCTGAACTTCAGGGAGCCTCGGGGAAGCGTGTTTATCACGTGTGTTCTCTGCCACTCCTGAAAGTGGTTCAGGTTCAGTGACCACAGTGTGATGTGTTAAGTCACCTTCTTGATACCACCCTGCACATGAGCAAGATGATTTAAAGACCTTTAATTGCTGTATATTTACGCTTGATGTAAATTTTCACCAGATATAACCTTTGTTGCTTCAATTATTTCTTTTCCCCCCCACCAAATAGTGCTGGTGGGTGGCACCAACTGAAGCAAATCTCAGCTGGCTGAGTTCTTTCGGGGAGATTAGTCTCATAACTCGAGCACTGGGTTTACAGGAGATGTTTGAAGAGTGTCTTTTAAACAGCCCTCTTTTTTTCTCCCTCCACCTCCCTCTGAACCGTATCTCTGAAATCCTTGCTTTAAAGAAGTGCAACCCTGAGTCACCTCGTCCCCCTTAAGGCTCAGTAAATGCCAAGACAATGGGTTAGCATTTTGTGTTAACGCATTTAAAACACCAGGTTAACTAACTCTTAATCTTAATTATAACAGAAATACCCATTCTGCATAACAGTAAAGTAGTAAATTTTAATTCTGAGTGCATGTCTCTGTCAGCCTTCCCTGTCATTGTGTTGAAGCATCATGAATCTGCTTTTTAAAGGCAGAAATTTTAATTCTGAGTGCATGTCTCTCTGTCAGCCTTCCCTGTCATTGTGGTGAAGCATCATGAATCTGCTTTTTAAAGGCACTTTTAGTATTTGGAACGTCCCCCCAAATCCACTAGGAAGCACGTTTAATATTTTAAATTAATTTTTCATAACATCTACACAATCAAAATTTAGCTGGAGAAGATGTAGACATTCTTACAACAGTTTGTTTAATATTTTAAATTTAATTTATCATAACATCTACACAATCAAAATTTAGATGGAGAAGATGTAGACATTCTTACAACAGTTTGATATCTAATAACTAAATAAAGAGCAGGCAAAACCAACAATACAGTAATAAAGTTCTTCAAAATTTCTTTGCAGCATTTAGTTCTTCGGTTTCCACTGTTAAAATATAACTAATTTCTGTGTGTCACTTCATAGTTATTAAGGCATTTAAATCTTATTTTAATTTAAGCAGATACCTGGAGGGTTAAATGTCAAGTAGTTTGTAATGAAAATCACTTGGAGCCTGACTTTGCTACCAGAAGAGAACTTACGTGCTAGTGCTTTATTTTTTAGGGGGCTGCAGCAGGGATGAGGTTTATACCGGTGCTATATGGAAGGTGTTAGAGGTGACGATCAAGTGCTACATATTGCAGTATAATTTCTCAAACTTATTTTTCCCTTTTTCAGGGACATCATGATAACGTATTTTGAACCTTCCATCTCATTTGAGGGACTGTGCAGTGAAGTTCGAGACATGTGCTCCTTCGACAACGAACAGCTTTTCACCATGAAGTGGATTGATGAAGAAGGTAAATCGATGCTTGGTGCTTGATCTTAAGACAAATATTTGATTGATATGTTCCTCAGCTGTCTCGTTCTCCTCTCCTTTTCATCTTTTCCTTTCCCTCTGCCTTCATGAGATAAGCTTATAAAACACTAACATTAATATTTTTTAGGGGGCTGCAGCAGGGATGAGGTTTATACCGGTGCTATATGGAAGGTGTTAGAGGTGACGATCAAGTGCTACATATTGCAGTATAATTTCTCAAACTTATTTTTCCCTTTTTCAGGGACATCATGATAACGTATTTTGAACCCTCCATCTCATTTGAGGGACTGTGCAGTGAAGTTCGAGACATGTGCTCCTTCGACAACGAACAGCTTTTCACCATGAAATGGATTGATGAAGAAGGTAAATCGATGCTTGGTGCTTGATCTTAAGACAAATATTTGATTGATATGTTCCTCAGCTGTCTCGTTCTCCTCTCCTTTTCATCTTTTCCTTTCCCTCTGCCTTCATGAGATAAGCTTATAAAACATAAGTCATAAATATGTTTTTAGAAATAGTAAATCTGGTCTAAAAATAATGCCTTGTAAGCATATCTTAATGGAAAGGTCATTGTTTCAAACAACTTAGCATGGAGAGCTCTACTTTTTTTACCAAATAAATTAAAACTTGGTGATTATCAAAAATATGAATTCAATGTTACCGTTAATTAGGAAGGGAATTGAAAGATTCCTTTGTACTGCTGCAGAGGCACAGGTTTCCCCCCAGTCTTAAATCCTTGAGAGTTAGCTAACCTTAAATGATACAAATTACAGTATTTATCTAAAATACTGATACAATTTCATATACAATTGAGTTGTATGTGTAACCAAAACAATTATATTTTGAGTGTTTGTATCAGCTGTTACTTTAGCAACCTATTATCATGTAACTTATATAAAAACTTTTAACTATTGAGAGAGAAATTATTTGTCCAACTAGATTTTCATCAAAGTGTAGTGGTAACAGCCTTGGTTGAGAACTCTTGTTGTCTCTATCTCTTAAATTATGTTAAAATTTACCTGGGATGAAAAAAGTTCAGTGTCTGGTCTCTTTTTTACTTAACAGACATAGTCCAGTTCTGAGCTGTATGTCATTTTTTAAAAAAAATTAGTTGTAGTTGCTATTTTCTTTGAGGAACTGGTGTATTCTACACCTGGGTTTTGAACTACACCAAAGAGATGGCTGAATTACAAAATAGCTGTTGAGTTATTTTAGCATACTAAGTACTTGATGCAATACATAAAGGGCCATAATGTGCAGTGATTTGTCGGCAGTGATTAGTATGTAGTGATTAGCATAAATAGTGCTTATAGAACTGTTTCCTCCCCTTCTTGCAGCTCTCCCATTCAAAATTGGGTGAGTGCCAGTTTATTCACAGCTTAAAGCTAAACATGGACCAAAGCTAATTTTTAGAAGTGCTGTATGAGGAGGTGTGTTGAAGATTATGTGGTCTTGGGAATCTGAGAAGGTTTTCTTTCTTTCTTTTATTTATTCCTCTCATCGGAATCTTTCTTTCTTTTATTTATTCCTCTCATCGTTCCCAGGTTATTTACACCAGGCAGTAAAATGAACAGTGTTTATGACCAGACTTCTGGGCAGAGTTGAACCTTTACTTCATAGTAAGCTTGTTGTATATTTTATCTTGAGGATAAAAGACTTCTCACTGAAGAGGGATAGTCAGTCATAGTAAGAAGTGAACTTAATGAACTATTTGTAGAAAATCTTGTGCAGATTCAGTGGTTTACTTGAAGGAACAGTTGTCTCAATTTTAGTTCTGTAGAGGTGGATTTTTGGAAAAAAAAAAGGAATGCTGCCATTGGACTGGGTTTTTTTTTTATGTATTCACTTAAGATTTAGTGTTCACAAGCAGTCCATGTTTGCTTTGATCACTGACTTCCATTTCAATGTCAGCAGAGGAAAAAGTTAAGCTGGCAATGAAGAGAGTGTTTAAAAAAAAAAAAAAATCCCCGTTTTTATTATGAGTGATTCTTGCATCTACAATGTGTGGCTTCTTGCCAAGACCTCTGCCTCCTCTCTTCCTCTCTCCACCAATCTTTCACGCTTTCAGTTGGCATTCTTTCTAGAAATTCATGATTTGCTTTCTTGGAAAATTCCTGTATTGTATCTTCTTCACTAAAGCTGTAGTTCACTGTAATAGTAGTGTGAGGAAATATGTGTACGGTGGTCTGATGCTTGTTATACTCCTATCTCTGCTTCTTGTAGGACCAGACAAGAGATGGTATCCAGGCTGTCTTCTCACTACTTACCTGGTCAAGCTATTTAGTCAGTATGTGACTAGACTGGATTTACCTTGTCACCGAGATTTTTATTTGTCATTTACTAAATGTCTTATTAGCCTTTGTAAGATGCAGAGCACCTTATTTAGTTAAGAGTTAAGGGCACAGGATGGCAGACCTGATTTAGTTGAGTGGAACCACTTAAAAAAATGGTTGGATTCAACTGGAAAATAGAATTAACTTGACTTGATTTTAGACAAATTTCTATTTTATCTGTATGCCGTCAGTTCATTTTACTTCTGTCTGGTGAAGTGTACTATAGGACGAACCTAGCCTTGTGTTTGTGTTCAGTCTGTTGTTTCTTGCTATAAAATTCAAAAATAAACATTTTCCTGATACTTTATTTTAGCTTTCCTCTTACTAGTCTGATCTTGATGAAAGAGTATTTGTAGCTCATCTGTTTGGGATACCTTGTCACCACTAACAACACTTCATCCGTTAAGACTTCAAAGTGCAATTGAGAGTCTGAGAGGGTCAGTTACATGCTGTTGCCATTGTTGGCTAAGTTGTGATCACCTATAAAAACTTGAAGTGCGAGTCAGATTTAATTCCAAAGTTTCCTACAAACATCTACAAACCTTCTCTTCCTATTTGAAGCAGGGTGTATGTTCTTCAGAGCCTCCTTTTGTTTCTTCAAACAAAGCTGTTTGCACAGGTGTCAGAAACAAATGAAGAAAAACTGGTTTGTTGATTCTCTTAGTGAGTCTGAATAAATTTAGCTGTTCCTTCTCCTCCTCCTCCTCCCTCCCTCCCTGTGCCCTGCGCTGTGTGAGTTTGTGCAATGGGTAGGCAGTTTGATGTCCAGATAGGCTAATTAATTGCAGGGGGGAGGCAGTATGGTGAAAAATGACTCCAGCTGGCTTCAAATAATAGTTTTGAGGATTATGACATGCAGAAAAGAATAAAGACAGAATGCTGCAAATGCAGAGTTTAGATTTAGCACTAATGCTTTAGCAATTGGAAAGAATGGATACATTAGAAACAAAATAAATTAACTGGAAAAACTTTTGTAGGGTGAGTTTTAAATATCCCCCTGCCCGCTAGGTGCCTGGTTCTACTGAAAAGCCTTAGCAACACCTGTATTAATTCTGGTATCTTGTGTAGCACAAAACAAAAAGTGAATAGTTCATAGACTGTTGCTAATTAGCTTTCAAACCATGGTATTGACTGAAGATTCAAAGCAGTGAGACTTTGATATTGGATTCAGTTAAGCTGAGATGGAAATTGTTCTGCCCTCCTCCAATTCGGTTGCTTACCACCAGTTTACCACTTAAGGGTGTGGAAAGTACTATTTCTGTTAAAAATTGGAAATGTTATATGACAGTAGACTTGCTGTATGGGATTTTGGCTAGAAAGAAGCTTATTCTGCTCATGTGCAGGCAGAGATAAATCCTGTGTTCTCACACAGAACATCTTGTATAGGTGGAGGGGGCGAAAAAAGCCAGAACTAATAACTAGAAGTATTTTCTTTCTTTGGGCGAGTGATGATTCAGATTCAAAATTTTTTAAAAATGTTTCAGTTGTATTATTTTGAGCAAGATTTCTTCTTTTAAGGGGATTTTTTTTTTAAATAATATTATTAATCTGCATCAGGCACCAAAGAAAATGTTTTGTTGTGTGGCTGTTCTTTTCAGTCTTTATAGCCTTTTCCAGACACAGGAGGTCAGCTAAAATATCAGATAAAGCCTTTAGATAAATCTTGAGAAACAGGTAAAGTACAGCCTGTGTCCAAAGGAGCATAGAGCAAGGCTGAAATTTAAGGTCTTTCTTGCTCCTGGTCCTCAATACAGCAGATCTTTAGCCTGATGCTCTGTGTTCCTTAGATTTAAACCTACATATAGGCCAAAATGGTCCTGATGTAATTAACTGTTGCTTAATGATCTGAAATAACTTTGTTGATACATGTTATTTTTTAGAAATATAAAGTAGATACCTACAAGGAGACCTTAGTCTTAAACTATCACTTTTGAAACACAGACTCGTTAAAGCACTCCAATGCAGTCCTGTCTAAGAAACTTTAAAATACATATCAAATGCTTGTGTGATAATCTGTTCCATCTCAAGTGGTCAACAAAAGCTGCAATTGTTTTCTAAAACAGGAAAAAACCTCCACAAAATAACCATCCAACACTTTTTTCCTTCCTCGGTGTCCTTTCTTTAAGGGATTTTATTTCAAATAGTCCTCGAGTATGAAAGTAGTAGTTAAAAATCAGAAAAATTGGATGTTTTCACTTAAGTGACATGATTTTTCCAAGTCTTGATTAAGGTTTTAGGAAATACTAGAGGTCTAACTGCTTTTGCACTTCCTGGTTGAAGTCTTGGAAATGTTGAAAGAGCTGTGAAAATAGAATTGTCTCACTTCTAATTAAAAATGCATTAAATGAAATGGAATCTCTAAAGGATTTTAGGTGCAGGAAGATAACCTTCACCTCCTCTACTGAAATGATATGTAACCATGCTTGTAGCAGACCAAACCAATGATGTTTTGTGGTTATGATGTGCTTGCCTTTTGAGAATATCTCATATTTTTATTTTTCCTGAAGGCATTCAATATGACTATTTTCAGATGTACTCTCTGAACAGTCTTAAAAATAAATACTACCACACTTGAGAATATTGTTCTGTTTTACTGTAGTAATTGTCTTAGAACCAACTGCGAGGGAACTGCTGAATGGCACGGAATTAATTGGATTGAATTTTGAATTGTTGTCCTTTTTTTTTTTTTTTTTTTCCAGAAGACAGACAAACAAACAAACTTCTTTTGTGATCTATCACTTGAATAGGTAGCAAAGTTGCATCAGGTGGTGCAACAGCATTACAGCACTTCACTCTGAGGAAGCATGATGCACAAATGTACCCATGACCAAGTTACAGTTGGAGAAGAACAGAAAAAAAAAGTAGTGTTAAGTTCTGATCCTCAGATATATCTGGAACTGGGTTTAGTGTCTGTGTTAGAAGGTAGAGGTTAGACTCTTCAGAGGGGACCTGGATTCTGCTACACTGTCCTCCAGGAGATCCATGTACAGTCTCTTCTCAGCTGGAGTTAGAAGAGGCCTTTCGGTTGTATGAACTAAACAAGGATTCAGAGCTTTTAATTCACGGTACGGTGAAAGAAGTGTGATTTTTCTACCTTGTGTTACCTGTGTTTTGCACAGCCTCCTCAATTAAAAGCCTGTTGTGGTGTTCTGTCAAGAGGGTGCTGAAGACCATGCACCTTAGCTGTCAGCACTTCATAAATGTTCTTTATTAGGTTAAGGGAGGAAAAAATACTTCACTGGTAGGTTATTAATGAAAGACAGCCCCTGCCTCATTCATTCATCACAAGTGCTTTCGTATGCTTGTTAGCAACAAATTGTAGAAGATATATAGTGCAGTGTTACTAACAGGTGCTTTAGAGCAGCATCTGTATTAGGGAAAGAAGTTGGTGAGCTCCATTTGTGATGCCAGATTTGTCAAAAGTTTAACTTTTCTAAAATTAAGTACTTGAGGCCAGTTGTGAACCTGACGATACCATACCCCTGTTTGATGTGTAGTTGTTAAATTTTTATTTTTCAAAGTTATATGCCCATTTTGGTACCTTCCACAATATATTTTTCTTGTTTGTAACTTGTTACAAGTTAAAGATAGATGTCAGTTTAACAGGGATCATAGCAGAGAAGCAGGGCATCATTGTAAAGAGTGTTAATTGATGTATTACACTACAGTGTCTTAACTTTCTTCTAAAGTTCTTCTCTACAAGGATGCAAAAAATCGCGTTCACCATCAGCTCAGCTGGAAGGGACGGCTTTTCAGCTTCCCACACAGCCTTTTTAAAAAATGAAAGAAGAATGAAATCTGTTTCTATATATATTACATCAGTATGCTTTTTGATCTGCCTTTTCTCCGTTTATTTTTGTGTTTGTTAAGCTTCTGATTAAACCAGCACCAGGGTGTTCTCTCCCCAGTTACAGACTTCTCTCTGACAGCTAAATAAACTGAAAAAAATGGCTAATGTAGACATGATCATATGTAGCTCTTAGGAGACTGTAATATAATGTTTATAGTCAAAATTTCCAAATACTGACTGTGGTGATTGGTCACATGAGAAACCAGAATCATTACCTTTTTTCTAGTTACTTTCATTAGGAAATAATTTGATTTGTTCTGCTTTTTTGCTTGTATGTTGCAGTTATGTCCAGCAATAAGGTTTTATGGCAGTTTTTTGACTCGTCTGCTGTTGCCCAAGGTTTTGTTAAAATGCCTCCTGTGCTGTCATCCGAAACAGTTGCATGCCTTCCAGAAGTGTTGTGTTTAACCCAAAAGTTTGTTTTCTGTCCAAAATAAAAATTAATCAGCGGTTAATGTTTTTTCTTGCAGTATTTCCTTGTGTACCAGAACGGCCTGGCATGCCTTGTCCAGGAGAAGACAGTAAGTAGGCATTTTAGTTAAGAAGTACAGAAAATCAGGAATTCAGATCTCCTGTTTTAGAAGGTGTTAATATTCTATGGTTAGACATCCCACACTTATGAATATTAATAATGCAGATGTCTATAAATTCAATATTTAAAAGGAATGGAAAGTCTTGCTGAACTTAATTGTTGTTTGTCACTTCTGAATCATTGTTAATAAGCACTTCACATTTCTGTTAACTCTCCATGTCACTCTGCTTTCCTTGCTTTTGCCTCTTCTGTCGTGACAGTTTTTTATCACATTCCTGTCTTTTTGGTAGTTGCCAGATCTCTGGCTGATTGATGTGAACAAAGGCTTGTAACCAACGGGAATGCCTCGTCCTATCACCATTTAGAGATCTGTGGTTAATTCATTTTAAAGTGTTTAGTTACTATGAGGAGTATCCTCTGAAAATATCTAATGTATTAGACATTAAAGAGGTAATTTTGAGCATATGTATGCTATGACACACATCTCTCAGGTTGATATCCAAGTCTCTGACAAATGTAAATGTTTATGTTTAGAAGTTAACTCTGAAGAGATTGCAGAGTGAATCAGAAATAGATTTGCAACTCAGTGTAGTTTTGTATATTCTTGTTTTCAGTTTGGGTTCCTGATATGCCTCTAGTAGTAATAAATAAAAATGCCAAACAGTGGCAACTGTGGATCTAAAAATCTAAAATGCTGGAGGATTTGTGCAAGCAATCTGATAAATCAGGGCATGCTCCTGAAATTCACCTTCTTCCCTTCTTCCTCCCTGAGTTTAGATGCATACTTTGCACACAAGTGTTTGTATTGCTGCCTTCCCTTTCACCATAGTTCCTCCCCGAGTTTAGATACATACTTTGCACACAAGTGTTTGTATTGCTGAGCAGTTTTCCTTCTCTTGATTCGCTGTTCCTTTTAATTTTGGAAAAGCAGAATTAACTTTGAGTTGATCAGGATATTCTACTTCAAATTTTCTCCAAAATTTAAAAAGCAGAATTAACTTTGAGTTCTACTTCAAATTTTCTCCAAAATTTAAAAAATGGAAAAGATACTTGGAACACACCTCTGTGTTTCTGTAAGGTGCGGGAGCGAAACTTTACTCTGCAAATCACTCTACACAGAAGTGTCTGTGAGAAGATGTTGTAGTTCTGTGTTTATATTTTTATGGATATAATCATATGTTTTTCCTCTTAGAATCCATTTATCGCCGAGGCGCCCGCCGGTGGCGAAAGCTCTATTGTGCAAATGGTCACACTTTCCAAGCCAAACGATTTAACAGGGTGAGATTCTTGTTGGGTACTTAAAACCATGATACAGGGATGTCTTACTTGGGTAATTACAGTGTCACTGCCTTGGAAAATTATTAGGTAGTTTTATTCTCATTTTTGTTGTTTGTCTATAGTATGTAGACTTCTGGTAACCCTCTAGTTTCAGGGAACTTAATCACTATTAATGTAGCAGGACCTCAAAATAGAAAAAAAAAAAATTAGCTTCAGTTCACATTACATGTACTCTCAAACCATTATATGGATTATATAAATGCTCCTGTGTTCCCTTAAAATCTCCCCAGAGGGTAAACTTGAACACAGGGATTGGATGTCTGAGCTGAAGGTACATTTTCAGTTCTTTAAGTTCTGGGAGTAAAAAGGTCTCATCTCCCCTTACTATGCACAGCCTTTTCTTTCATGCCTTTTAAGTGAAAAACAGACATGTTTCTCTAAACAGCCTGCTTATTATGGCATGTAATCAACTGAAAATAACAAACCATTTGTAATATTTTCAAGAACCAATGGTCAAATATAATTAGCTAAGGACCAAGAAGGCTTTCTGCTCTATTTAGAGAAAGTAACGGCAAAAAATAAACCCAGAATATTTGAATAAGCCGGGTTCCTTGACAGCTTCAATAATCTTTCCTTCTTTCCTAAGCTGAGAGTATTCTGTGCTTAATGCTTGAGATTGTCTCCACTAAACTTTCCTAAGCTGAGTGTATTCCGTGCTTAATGCTTGAGATTGTCTCCACTAAACTTCATCCTGGTCATCCTTCATATCTAACTTCTGCTTTTATTTTTGCTTTTTTTTTTTTTATTTTTTATTTTGACCTCTTCCTGGTCCAAGGCTGTCAAGGCACCATAGTTTAATCACTTTCCACTCTTGCTTTCGTAGGCGCCCTGTTTTCATGGTTCTTTTGAGTTGTTTTGTGAATGTCCTTCAGTGAGTGGTGATGTTCCTGTTTCCTGTTATCTGGTGGTTTGATGTGTTGAAGCTTTTGCTCTCCTGCCTTCCTCTGTACAAATGTAAGGACTTCTCTACACAGAGAGATGACAAGACGTAGCAAATTAGCCTTCATTCTTAAACTTCCCAGCTAGAGACTCTTGGTATAGTGGCATGTTCAGTAGGGATCTCTCAGGTCTCCTGTCCTATGTTCTTTGTTAATGAAGATGTGGCTGAAAAGCTTTCATTGTTAAGTTTTGTTCTTCAATCACTGTTGTTGATTTGTCATTCTAGAGAGCTCACTGTGCCATCTGCACTGACCGAATATGGGGCCTGGGTCGCCAGGGGTATAAATGCATCAATTGCAAACTCCTTGTTCACAAGAAGTGTCACAAACTTGTCAGTATTGAATGTGGCCGTCACACACTACAACCAGTAAGTAAAACTTCTCTGAAAAGTTGTCTTTAAAAACAGCTACTGACCAATCAAACTAAAAAGCCCATTTAATCCTAATGATTTTCAAACTGTAATCTGCAAATAGTCACAGTAGATGAAACATCATTCTTCGTGGTTACTGTGATGCTCTGCAAGAAAGTTTGGGAGTCACTGAGCAGCGTGGCAATTTAGTGGCAAGATGGGAGTCTAACTTTCACACCTGTTATTTTTTCCTGTGTCAAATATAAGCATATAAGCGATATTTATCTCATCCTTTATTTTGCATCTTTCAAGTGAGTTAAAGGTAAAATAAATTCTTTAAACAGCTGTTAGATTATTAGCCTATTTCCCATTTTACAGATAAGGAAAATCAAGTGCAGAAGTTCTTAAGTCCCCAGAAAAAATTAGGTGATTACTGCTCCTGGTTCAATATTAAAAGCAGACAGCTCCAAGTCTACATTTTGTGAATTCAGTTGACTAACATGTTTACTGCTGAAGTACTTGAGTGTTTCCCTCATTTGTCATCTGCTATACTTTTCTCTGTTGTATTAAGCTGTTACTTCAACAGCTTCTGCAAACATGTCATAACTTCTGGAAATAAGTTAAATATGGACTGCAGTGGCTTCTTTTATTGTGTATGGATTAGAGCAGTAACTATGTTGACTAATCAAGTGAACAAGTAGCTAGATTATATTGCTTAGGGATCACTTATTTCATTTATTATCTCTAAAATTTTGTCTCTTACACTCGGACAGTCTATTAAAAAAATCCTCTGCATATTTGCAGGAACCAATAATGCCTATGGATCCATCATCAGTGCATCCAGATAATGTAGAATCAGGTAAGATCAGTAATTTTTTTCTTTAATTTACTGTAAGTTGCTGAAACATGAACTTTGGGGTTAAAAATGAAACGGAGTAACGTTAAGTAAATTATTTTAAAAACCCTTCTTTACTTCTGAAGAGATCTCCAAATACAGTTACGGGGTTTTTTTATTAGCTGTAACTGATTATTAATGTAGTATTGCAAAAGAATCATTCTGATGGGTTAAAAAAAACCAAACCAAACCCAACAGATTTGAACGGTTACAAATAGATGCAGTTAAATTGTGTATCTCTCTGAGCTCTTGGGGGGGAATTTTAAGGCAAAAGAAAATACTGTTGTTTTGCATCCATCTAATCACTTTTTCTTGCACTTCTAGTGATTCCGTACAATCCTTCAAGTCATGAAAGCTTGGACCACGTTGGTGAAGAAAAAGAGGTAAAATATCTTAACCATGCTAACTGTATTCAGGGATCTTAGAGCTTTTATCTCTCTCAATTTCAATATTTTAGTAATTTGTTACAAACAGAAAACTAGTACCTAAAGCACATTTGGTTGCTCACTCAGCCTATATGGCTTGCAAGCTGTTTTATATTGAACTTTGAGTTGAAATATGCTTTGCTTTAAAAAGCATAGATGTGCTTTAACTTAGAAAGTATTCCAAACTCCTCCAGTTTCGTTTGTTTTTTATCTGTCAAGTCTCCTCTGCCTCCTCTCTTTCCCCTCACATTCCTTTCCAGGATGGTGCACTTTCAAGAATAACAAGTGTTAATTGAATTACTTGTTTATATTAATTTTGCTGTTGTATTTGAAATGCTAACTTTTGCAAGTTGTTAAAATTGCCTGACTAATTTCAGAGTCTCTTTATCAACAGGCAATGAGCATCAGAGAAAGTGGCAAAGCTTCCTCCAGTCTGGGTCTTCAGGATTTCGATTTGCTGCGGGTTATAGGAAGGGGCAGTTACGCTAAAGTCCTGCTCGTGCGATTGAAGAAAACGGAGCGCATTTACGCGATGAAAGTGGTGAAGAAAGAGCTCGTCAATGATGATGAGGTAGGAAAGCATTTTATCAATTAAACCAGGCAACTCTTCCAAAGAGATTCCGTATCTACCACGAGGTGGTTGCCAGGCTTCTGGGTCTGCAACACTAATTGAAAATTATACATGTGGTTTCATATACATACTATGCTATAGAAGATTCACAAGACAGATAACCAATTTTGAGGTCTTTATTGACAGACTGGTAGCTCACAGCCGCCCTCCTGTGCCTGTGGTTTCTGTCAAGAGCCTCGTGTCCTCTGTTCCCTGTCTCCTTTTGTGATCATCCCTGTCTGCAGCAGGGCCCCTGCAGAGTTCAAGTTAATCAGCCTGGCTTGCTTCGTTATTTTGGAGCAGTGTTTTATATTTCTCCTGTTATGCTGGCTTGCTGGGCTGAAAAGAAATGGGTGGTCTGGTTTTTATATGTTCAAGTTTAGGTTTTTGTCACAAAGGTGAACTCACAGTGTTATTTTAATTGCTCTTTAAATCAGACCTCCACCTTAAAAATGTGTAGCTTGTACAGTAATGATGAAAATGAATCAGAATTGTAGTATTAAACTCCAATTTAACGCCTCTTGTTGCTGAAGGTTTCCCTTGTGTTTCTTTATGCTGCTCTGAAAAGGCTCGACCAACTGCAGTTTGATACCCAAGAGCTTTTGTGTTTATTTCTCTATCACTGATTTCTTCTGCATTTCTTGGTGCTGCTTTTCATTTGTCTGCACCAGTTTGTCTCCTACACATGAGTGTTTTTTCATTCCTGAGTGTAATTACACAATGAAGCTAAAAGTACAGGATGCTCAAGACAGGAAAAAAATGAGTATGCTAAATGTCTTACTTCACATTGGACAGAACTATATATTTAATTGCTTTCAAGTAAAATGAGGATAGCAAAACACTTGAGTATCTTTCTGCTAATTGTCATTAATACTTGACCGAAGTACATCAATCCTTTTCTGAGTGTTGCTTTTCTTAAATAAATAGGATATTGATTGGGTTCAGACAGAGAAACACGTCTTTGAACAAGCTTCAAATCATCCGTTTCTTGTCGGACTACACTCTTGCTTCCAGACAGAAAGCAGGTAAAACTCATAAGATAATTAAAATATAGTGTTATTAAGGAAAGATTTCATACTCTTAGGCACCTCAAGGCCTCTTTAAAGCACTAAGTGTTAGGTAGGTAGCGAAAGTCAATGTACTGTAAATCAATGTAGCATTTTATGAGCAAAAAGGTGAAGTTAATTTTGAGCTTTTCAGGTTGAGAAGATGCAAAAGAATGTAAAGCACTGGGAGAGGCTTCTGGACAGGAGGAGAGTTGCAGCTAGCGCAGAAAAAGGCTTGAGAAGATGAGGTAAAAGACAGAACCTGGAATGGGAGGAAAAAAGGGTTTAAGGAGAGAAAAATCAGAAACACAAAAAATATGTTGCACAGACTGTCTGGAGATGAGTCTCTGAGCAAGACTGGGAAAATAGTATGTGAATTTTAAAAAGGAAAGCAGGGAACAGAGATGAAAATCATTATTTTCCTTTGCATTTATATATAGAAGAGATTGCAGTAGATGAATTACTTTTCAATTATTTTCCTTTGTGTTTATATATAGGAGAAGAGATTGCAGTAGATGAATTACTTTTCTGTACAGTAATAATTTTCAGTATATATAAAATAGTGTATATTTAAACAACATATTTGCTGTTTGAGAAGGTGACAAGCTATTGGAGGGAAGCGAGAAGAAAGATATTTTTTTTTTCTCACAAAAAATACAAATACAAAAATATATTTGTAATGCATATTTGCTGTTTGAAAAGGTGACAATCTATTGGAGGAAAGTGAGAAGAAAGATATTTTTTTTTCTCACAAAAATACAAATACAAAAATATATTTGTAATATATTGGTAGTGTTAACCACAAACAAAGGAAACTAAAGGGATGGGGAAGGAAAATAAGATATTTTTTTTCAATTTTTTTTCTGGTTTGTGCATAGAAACTGATGTGAATCTATTTATATAATCACATACATAATAATGACAAGCAGTAGCTGTAAAGGATTAGGGGTGTGGGAAGGATTACTTAACTTTCCTGTAGCAATAAAGGAAATTATCTAGAGAAACTTCATATACTTGATTTTTGACTTTGGGAATTTATTCAAGGGAGGGAAAATGGTGAAAACAGCCATATTAGCAGGGATGGGAGGAATTGAATTGAGATGGTTTGAGATGTCACAGGTCTGTTATCAAACATCTTCAGTGTTGTATACAATCATTTGTAACTAACTCCTCTGTTTCAGGTTATTCTTCGTTATAGAGTATGTAAATGGGGGAGATCTAATGTTTCACATGCAGAGACAGAGAAAGCTGCCAGAGGAACATGCCAGGTACGTCTAATTCCAGATTTTTTGCATCAAAGCAGTTGGTTTTCTGACACAGTGCAGTAGTGCAGAGATTATGATGATGAGCCAGCAAATCCTCTCCAGATGTTAAGGATTTAAGGAATGGGAAACTGCATTCTCATTTTAGTGCTGCAAACTACCATATTTTTGTTTCAAGGAGGAACTGTAATAAGAAGCACTTAGGTATTGCTTGTATTAGCATTACCTTAGATGACTTCAGTCTGATTCTGAATTTTTATATAGAAAAACACTTTTGTGATATTTTTTAACTGTGTGATGGTATCAGTGTTTCTTTTACAACAACCACTACCAGCTGTCCAGGCAAATGCTGAGCTCTTGGTGCATATGCTTCATCTCAGATGGTGAGATGAAAGGGATGGTTTCAGTAGACATCAATATTAATTAAAAATAATCTTTCAAGTGACTGTGGGTAGAAATGTTTATACGATTATAAACTTATCCACTTCTCTGATGAAAAATAACAGAATACAGGGGGTTATATTTAGAAAAGTATCATACTACCAAGGCTATATTACTGTGGTTTGGGTTTTTGATTACTTGAGTAATCAATATCTTCTTCTACTCTAGATTTTATTCAGCTGAAATCAGTCTAGCATTGAACTATTTACATGAACGAGGGATAATCTACAGAGATTTAAAACTGGATAATGTGCTACTAGATTCTGAAGGGCATATCAAACTCACAGATTATGGCATGTGCAAGGTAAGTTCTAGTTCCTTGCTAAGGAGTAAATAAACAATTAAGAAATTGTCATAAATTAAAAGATGGTATTCATTTATACCCAGTGCAGATAGGCAGTTATACTCATTTCACTTCTACAAATAGAGAAAATGCCAGAGTGCACAGACTATATATATATATATATATCTAAAGCTGCTGTATCAGCTTGACTGGGAGGTGTAGGCTGAAAGAGTCAAGAGAGCTTGATTTCAAAAAGAGCAAGAGGTTGAAATATGTCAGTCACGCTTCCTCCCACTTGGATTCTGTGACACTTCCCATTTTCTGTAGGAAAAGCTGTCACTACAGAGACACTGAAGCACAGGTTTGACCTTGCCATGGGATTGCCATTATGCTGCTCTATTAGAACTATTTCAAATGTCACAATTTTGGCTAAGTAACTGAAAAAGCATAAAATCATACAGGTTTTAAAGGGCCTCAGGGAGTCTAATCCACCCTCCTGCTCAAAGCAGCTGTAAGATCAGGTTGGGTGCCAAAGGGCTTTATTCATCTTGGTCTTGAAAACTTCCAAGGGTGAAGACTGTACAACTTTTTGGGGTAACTCCTCCCAGTTCTGCATCCCATGCTCTTCTCTGAGAACCTTCTATCTGTCCATTGCACACCCCGCTCATGTAAGCTGTTCCACCATGCCCCAGTCATTCTCATTTGCCTATCGTGGAGCTTACTAACCAAAACCTAGAAAGATGTTGTCATCAGTAGGTATGTGCCATCCTCTTGAGGCTTTAGATGTGACCTACTTCTGTTTTTTCTGAAGCAAGTAGTGTTTTGTATTCATTTACATACAGTTTTGACCAAAACAAAAGCAGTTTATTCAGGACTGTTAACTCAAAATGAAGTTCTTAGCAGAGGGGGAGTGTGGGATCTTTGGATAACTGTAAAGTATTTTCTTCCTGTCTTTTCTTAAAGGAGGGCCTGAGGCCAGGTGACACAACCAGCACCTTCTGTGGGACTCCAAACTATATCGCACCTGAAATTCTCCGGGGAGAGGATTATGGTAAATTGCATTTTTTCACTGCTACCGTCTAGCTTTCACTTTGTCTCTTACCTATTACTCGAGTTGTTTAGCAGCAGAAAGTATAAATCTCCGTTAGACACGTGGTCAGTCTTAATTCAGCATCCTGTCTGAAAAAGTAAATAAACACTTCAAAGGAAGGGCAGGAAACATCACATCAAGTGAATGAGATACCGTGCCTTCCACACTTCAAATTCTTTTTCTCAGTCTCGAAGAATAGCTTGAGTGTCCCAAATCTATGATTGTTTATAACTATTTTGGATACTACTGCTGATATTCTTACAGTCTTGAATCATGTTCAGTTTTGGAGCTTTACGTGTGGCAGCAATGGCAGTGTTAGATATCAATGCATTGCAAAGGGGCTGGAGAGCAGACATCCCTTTCACAAACCTCACAGCGCACGTACCGAACCACGCAATGTCTAGTACGATCGTTACCTGCTCAGATAATCAGAAAGACTGGCAATACTTAAAATTTTTTGAATCGATTCTTTCTTCTCAAAGCATGTCTGTCTTTTGCGTGTTGGTATTTTTGCTCCAAAATACCTTCAGTGGTGGTTTCTCCTTTGAATTCCAGGCTTCAGCGTAGACTGGTGGGCGCTCGGTGTGCTGATGTTTGAAATGATGGCGGGCCGCTCACCGTTTGATATCGTTGGGAGCTCTGACAACCCCGATCAGAACACAGAAGATTATCTTTTCCAAGGTTGAGTACCACGAGTGTTCCTACACTTTAGTGCTTTGTTTCTACTTACCTTAAATCTAACTTTCAAGATGCAAAGGCTGATACGAACTTTGTTTTCCTGCAGTGATTTTGGAAAAACAGATCCGAATTCCCCGATCCCTTTCTGTTAAAGCAGCAGGTGTTCTAAAGAGTTTCCTCAATAAGGTAAGAGTTAAAGGGAACTATTTAAGACTTCTCAAGAGCAACTGTTTTTCTTAAAACCTGTTGACTAATTGCTGTGTAGCAGACATACTTTATCTGCCATATATAGAAACAGGGTAGAAAAGGTGTGACCCTAAAGCAGCCTCTCAGTGGGGCTGGGGGACCTATTCTAGGTACTTGTCTTAAAACCTGGATCTCCACGTTCTCAGGCTGGGATCATGAGTAAATATCAACTTGAAATGCTCCAAGTGATTTCTTTAATCTGGGCAATGGATAAATAGCAAATGTATTTTGGTTCTTGAAGAGAAAGTGGTTAGCAAATCACTCTGACAACTTCTGACAGCTTCATGGAGGGAAATGTAGAGGCAGCACACGCTGTTTGCTGATGGCCAACTAGCCCGAGAGTCAAGAGGTGCCTCCATGGTGGTGGACTAGTCCAAAGACATGCTGGCCTTTATTTCATTAGAGTTGTGGGGAGAAAGAGGTATAGGGGAAAACGGATTTGATTAAATTATTTTGAAAAAAGTAATGCTGTTTGAGAACACTGACTCTGTTACAACTCCTTAGTGGAATTGTCTTGTTAAAATAACCTTCTTTGCACAGCACTTCTCAGTAACCTGCAGGTACTACCCCACTGTGATCACCTGGCATAGTCCACTCAGGAAGGTGTGTGTGGGGCGAAGAATAAAATGAACTTGTAACCTAAGCAAATTTGCTCTGAAATATATAGTCCGTTTAAACAGGCCTGAATAAAAATGAAGAAAGATGGCATGGCTGTTTACATAAAAGTCTGTTAAAGGCTTCCATGTTCGTGCCTATTTCAGACAGTAAATGGGAACAGTTTCCCAAATAAATAATGGTAATTAGTTCTTCAGTGACCCTCCTAACTCTACTGTTTCATTTCTCACAGGATTTGTAACGTTTGCATCTTATTCACGTGTAGGCTGTGGCACCCATTTAGAAATATTTTCTTCCTTGTGCAGGATCCAAAGGAACGTTTGGGCTGCCACCCTCAGACGGGATTTGCAGACATCCAGGGACATCCGTTCTTTCGCAATGTCGATTGGGATCTGGTAGGTGAACACTCACTGGAGCTTGGCTTAATTTACTTTCTGTGCAGTGATGGCTTGACAACTTCCTTTGAGCATGAGAGATGACATAAAACCTTCAAAAACTTTAAGCTTTTAACTTAAGATGCACCATAATGATAATACAGAATCTTTCAACCCTTTTACACACAGGGAGTAGATTAATGATTGTAGAAAGTATTCAAAAGAAACTTAATAGTAACTTCCAGCTGTGTTTAAAAGTAACTCTGTAGGTTGTAACTTGTTCTTGGTGTCACTAAGTGCATTTCTTCTTAGATGGAGCAAAAGCAAGTGGTGCCTCCTTTCAAACCAAATATATCTGGAGAATTTGGTCTGGATAACTTTGATTCCCAGTTCACCAATGAACCTGTGCAGCTCACTCCAGATGATGAGTAAGTAACGTAGAATTTAAGAAGTTCTGATAAGTCCATGAAGGAGTTACTAAAGTTCATTTAATGTCTCCAGTTGTAATACCTAGAATATATGTAAAGCAGTAAATAATATTTTCTTGGGTTAGTTTGGAGAAAATTCTGTTACGTGTCCTCATGGTAGAGGTAGTCTGGTGTGATGTAAAAATTAACTAATGGTGGGAAAGTTGCTATAAAGAATCTTAGTTCAGGGAAAGGTGAATAAGTGCTATTTTACAAGTTTTAGTGGTATCATCTGCAAGAAATGAAGGTGTGAAGGAAAAGACCTGTTTTGTCAAGTGGTTTATTTTTGTGTTACTTGAAGCCAGGCTGTTTCTAGAATATTGGGTTTAGATGGAATTCATCTTGGGTGTTCTGAACAAGAGAAGGTGCTTTGTTTGGCTTGTCTGGGTATTTTAAATTCCTAGTCATCAAGTGAGAGTCTCCTGGCTGAAAAGCCTTGGCAAAATGCATGATAATGTGTTTGGGTTTGGTAATGCATTTGTGGTTCCATATTCCTGAAGGCTTCTGATTTGGGATGAGGAGGGAAAGGCCTATCTAGTTTGACTGAGCCACTGCTGTTCGTGTTTTAGGAATTTTTCTAGGGTTTTGTATAATGTATGGAAACACAAACAGTGACTGTTAAATGTTACCTATGCACCTTAATTAGGTCTAAGGTCCCACTTCATCCCTTTGTAAATGCATAATGTACAAGGAAAGGTTAGAGAAGTTGCTGATGCAGGTGCATCTATCTATCCCATCCTTATGTTTTCAGGTTTTTCTTTTGGGAAAGTTTTCAAACTGCAAACCTTGCAGATTGCTTTGGTATCCATCCTATCCTTACGTTTTCATGTTTTTTACAAAACTGACTCTTTTGGGAAAGTTTTCAAACTGCAAACCTTGCAGATTGCTTTGTGGGGAGGATGTGGGCATGGGAGCAGCCCAGTCACTGCTCCTGGGTGGGTTTGTGTGTTCTGTTACCGTTCTAGGGGCTAGGAAAAAACCAGTGGTTGCTGTAAGGATAGAGAGGGACAAAAGAGAGAAGGGAAATGTTCTCAACTTCAATCTGCTCTACGGGTCTAAATTTTAAGACAAACTACCAGTTACTATTGTTACCTTTTGAATTTTGCTGAGCCTACTGACTGTCTTTTCATCTTAATAGTGATATTGTGAAGAAGATTGACCAGTCTGAATTTGAAGGCTTCGAATATATAAATCCCCTTCTGATGTCAGCTGAGGAATGTGTCTGAATTCCCCATTTCTGGACTGTGCCAATTGTTACTCTGTTTGTTTCTGCATGGATAAACGTCTCCTCATTTGGATGCACTTGCGTAAAACGAGTAACTGAACACCTTACCCTTGCCACCTCGTGTGAATTACTAATTTTCTTTTTGTATTAATAGCCATCCGGGACAGTTGTTATGCTTGAACCTTTGGCTGCCAGATTTCAAATGTCAAACTTCCCAACAGTTTTGCCAAAATTAGAATTTTAATAGAGAAGTTGGTGTCTGGGGCTCCTGACTGAACGATGGGGTCTGGGTGTATAATCTGCCAATACAGCGTTCTGATAAAGGAAAGTTTTCTTATTGCTTTAAGAATAACAAATTGCACTAGGAGATGTAATAAAATACCGTTAAAGGACTTCCATTTTTCCAGCAAGGGAAGTAAGACCTTATGACTTCTGTAGTTTTAAATCTCTTCTCTCTAAACATCTGATTTCCCTGTTCTCCTTAGAAGTTACAGCAATGTTATCGCCCTTCAGATTGAGATGACAGCAAGGAGAGCAGATTATTAAACTGAATAGGTCAAGGATGGCTGCCTTCGTAGGGTGTATTGATCCTTTCCAAAAGGAGATGAGGAACTTGATATTAGAATCAATAGGCTTTGCTCCCAAATGATACACTAGGAATTGTACGCTGATGCGCAGAGAGTGCCTTTCTGAGCCTGCCCCTTCCAGCCAGGGTTGTACGTGGTATAAAGTGTCAGTTTGAATAAAAGGAATTCAATTAATACTTTAAAAAGTTAAAATCTGTAGAGTGTAATTTAGCAGTAATGGGCAGCTAATATTGACGGATGTAGAACCTCATACTGTTATTTATTGCTTTTACACTTTCTGTCTTAACCTGTATCAGAACCGCATTCGTTACAGCTATGGCCAAAATAAGGGCATTGTTTCCTTTTTTTTTTAAAATAATCTTATTGCCATACTGTTGGAAAGGCATTTGACTTTGCCAGTGGAAAAAGCACATCTAGGAAGAAATAGGTGCTGCTCTCCACAATGACTCCCTTAACTTCTCCACTTCCAGATGGGGATTTGTAATCACAATCAAACCTTAAATAAAACCTTAAATCAAAAGATAATAGTAAAGCAATTGGAATAAACTGAAAGAACGGTTCAAACTAGGACTTCTGGGGGCTGTGATTCTTACATTTCATATTAGTAAACAGTGTAATATACAGCACAGATAATTCCTATTGTTAATGTTTAAGGAATAGTTTTGAATGTCTTAGGCCGGAGAAATGCCAAATGTACCACTTTTTTTTTTTTTTTTTTTTGGGGAAAAGGGATTAAGAGACACTGAAGAGATGAATCTGTGTTATAATTAAGAGCTGTAAGGCAAGCTACACGTTACTGAAAGCAGATTTAAGTATCTGTAAGCACAAGTTAGCAAACCTTATCTGAAGCTTTTAATAAGATTTCTGCCCGGTCGTTTTCTCTCCTTGAAAATCCATGTATGGCAACACTGTAAATTGATAGCACAAATCTTCTGGTGAATGTTTTTTCACTTACATGTCAGCTTCAAGGAGAGGGATTGCACACGGTGTCACAGTATGGTATTTAGTCTGTATTTTTCTTCGGAACGTGAATAGGAAACTCTTTAGTGTTGGGCTGAGTTTTCAAAACTAGGAAGTGAAGGGGCCTCAGTTTTGGGGAAGCTTTGAACCTCTGCACTGTTAAAAATCAGGTTCCCTGAAATTCAAGTTGTATATTTTCAAATGTAAAATACCGGAGTAAACCTCCTTTTAAAGAGCAGCTAAGAACTTCAGCGTTTTGTTCGTGTCAAGTGAACTGCTTCCACGCAGTTTTAAACTTGTGATGAATTGTCTTGCCTCTGACTTCTACACCCGCATGAGTAGTTTAGAGATCAGGACTTAATTGATAATAAACTTGGAAGTTATTTAAAGCAAACAAGAAAAGCCTTGTCTCTACAGTGGCTTAGTATCACATGGGGTATTAAGTAAAATGGCTTTAAGTAATGAAGGGCATTTCTGCTGTTTATCACAAAAGAGTAACAGAGCGTTTTGTTTGTGTCAATTGAACTGCTTCCACGCAGTTTTAAACTTGTGATGAATTGTCTTGCCTCTGACTTCTACACCCGCATGAGTAGTTTAGAGATCAGGACTTAATTGATAATAAACTTGGAAGTTATTTAAAGCAAACAAGAAAAGCCTTGTCTCTACAGTGGCTTAGTATCACATGGGGTATTAAGTAAAATGGCTTTAAGTAATGAAGGGCATTTCTGCTGTTTATCACAAAAGAGTAACAGAGTAAAACAGTGTCTTTTGTGCTTAAAGCAACAGTTGATTTTTTCTTTTATAGATCATGTCACAGAAAAGATACTTTTTTCTATTTGCGTATCTAATCATTAAGGATGTTGCTAAGTGACAAACATCTTAAATGCCTGTAAATCCATTTTTAAACTTTAATTTTCTCCAAAGTGCCATGATGTTAACAGTTATTTTTCATTGCTAAGCATATAGCAACTGTCGTAAATATTCAGAAGGGACATCGGGTGTAAACAGTCCAGTGCAGTCAGCTTTGTCTTTTGGAGAAAGTGTCTGCATCAGAAACATAATGTATTTATGTGGAGTAACCTCCTTTTTGTATACGAGTTGGATTCTTATGGGTGCTCTGCTAGTTAATATTGTCACTATTATTTTCCTGTTTCATATGGAATATGGTCTTGAACGTTGTTGTGTAATCATTCCCTTTATTTGTGCACACTTTTTACTTTAAATAAAACATTTATAGTAGGCCTCTGTGTGTTAACTTGTAAAACAAACACTGTGGAATGTTGGGCTCCCCATGGGATTGTCGTCTGGCCCTTAAATATCCAGGTCCCACAGGAGTGTTGTTATAATCTTATAAATACTTCTAGGAGAATGCCCTGGGATAAACCACAGCAACCCAAGAGATACCTCCTTCAGCTGATGTTCCTCAGGCATGTCTCAGAACACCCATTCATCGTGCCCTGGGGAGAAAAAGCATCTTTGGAGTCTCTGTCTTTCATTCCAACTCCAGTGATGGAAGAGAAGTAAGTGGTGAGGTCTCAGTCAGCTGTGCAGATGCAAAAAGCATCAAGTAAAATACAAAATGCAATTCTAGCTTGTTTGACCAAGGCCCTCTTTCAGCTGGTGCTTCAGAGACGTCATCTCAGCTGCCAGAGCTGGGGATGGGGAGTTGGGAGCAGCGCTTACTTCTGCATGAGTTCCTTCTTTGTTCCTCCAACTCCTCCCCCACGTTCTCTTGGATTTCTGACACGGAGGGCGAGGGCACTTCGTACCCTGTTACAGATGCAGTCTGTTAATTTATCTTTATTTCAGTATCTGTGTATCTATATTTTTAAAAAGAGATTTCCTCTTGCAATCTGGCTTGTTAGTGCAAGTGTGTAGCGGCAGCGGTAGGCAAATGCTGCAGATGGTGGCGTATCTTAAATGCTTAACCTCCCCCCACGCACACGGCTTGTTTCTGTTCAGTTTGGTGGCCAACTGCTCTCGGCTCAGTCTGAGCAATTGTTTGTGTTAAGACACTCTATAAAAGAAACTAATAGCTTGTATAATCTATATATACTTGATACCTTCCCTGCTAAGCGTCATCCTCGCTTCACCATGGACGGCATAAGCAGCTTAAGCAAGAAAAAGCTATTTGAAATTGCCTATAAATTAATGACATTTTCCTGAGAGGAGGGAGCGGGGGATTGGGGCCCCTCTCAGAAAAGGGGGATTTTACTATATCTTGCATTTTCCTGAGAATAGCTCAGGGTGTTGAGGTTTTTTAAGACTTTTTTTTTTTTTTTTTTTTCCTGCTTATGGTAAAGGCATCTGAACTGCCTACTTGAAATGTGTAATCTTAACCATTCTCTACTTAATCAACAGTTAAAGGCAGAGAAGCATCTATCTCCTGGGTCTGTTTGGCTTTTGTGGGAGCTGGGCTTTTCCAGGCATAAATAGGACCGGAAATCTGTTGTGTCCATGACTCCTGAACTTGAGCAGAGTGTCTGGGCTCACATCCATTTTGCACTGGGGGGTGAAGCATGGAGGGGAATTCTGACTGGGATTTTAGATGCAGACACCAAGTCACAGCTCAAGTTCCTCCAACTATTTCCAAAGTCACTTGTCCTGGAAGATGTGGTACACACTGAAATCCATCAACTGGTTGTGCTCATAAGACCCGTAATAGGGTATCTGATCCGGTATCTTGTCTATGTTACTTAATCTGTCATAGGAGGTTTCACAAGAGTTGTCTTAAGTATTACAGCTTATCATTAAAAATCATTACTAAAATTATTTATTTTCTTTAAAATGCACAAGCTGCTACCTTCAGAGAAGAAAATGCCCAATTTTTGTTCTCTGTTCAGTGTTAAGTTGTGCTCTTTAGAATCTTTAGAGACTGTGTATATTGAAACACTTCTTTAAAATAATACTTCTTTCTCTTTCTGTAGAAAACCACCTTTGTTCATAAATATGCAACTTGAATCTTATTCGCAAAACTGTCACAAAGTTCTTTACATGCTTTAGCAGTTTGACAAAAGCTTTGTATCTCTGTTAACCAGCTCAGCCCAAAGATCATTTTGTTTTAATATGGTATTTGGCATTTCCCTTTATATGTAGTAGTTTAAAGGATGTGGTTTTATTTGCACTCAGAAATGCAGATCAGTTTGTGGCACTTGCCCCTCTTCCTAGTGCGGGAGTGGAAGAAGAATCGCCCCCAGGGACTGTCAGAGGTGGCCACAAAGAATTCAAAGGGGCAAGTGTGTGTGGGAGGATGCCACTTGCTTTACTTTTAAACACCCAGGGTTTTTTTGCCTTATGATATTTTTGTAGGTCTGTGGTTTTTAGCGTGTCCTGCTTGGTGGTATTTTAGAAATACATGAAATAAAAGTGATATACTTTCTAAGGAACTGCTTGGTTTCCCATATATTATATATCCTTCATATTTTAATTTCAACTGAAAATGAAACTTTCCTAATCCCTGTTGAATTGTAAAGTAAAAATGTATTTTTTAAATAATATCTTTTCTTACTTAGAGCTGACTTAAACAAGTAAAGGCAAAAATTCTGTACAGGCTGCCTCGGTTTTAAACTTGAGGTGTTGAGACCAAGCAGTGAAGGTGCCATTTGGGAATTGCGTTTTAAGACAACCTTAAATGTTAATTTTGTAAGCATCCAAAGGGCTTCATCACTTCTTGAAAATTCAGAGGAGCCAACAATAAAAGAAGGATTCCTCCTGTGCTCTGTTAGTGCCATTTATTACATCTTGGGAAAGTCTGTAACTCGGTTTTTAGTTGCACAATGTCTTTGGAGCTGCTTTTCAGAGTCTACAGTCGAAGTTGTAGGCAGAGTTAACATCTTTTTTTAGACAATCCTCTACCTACAAACTTTGTCTTACATTGCCTGATGGTTGTAGCTCTATAGCAACACTATCATTACAGCACAATAGCTACCAGGATTTGCAACCTGAAATGGAAAATGTGCAGCAGAACTTGAAAAACCCCAATTAGGCAAGGACACTGAATTCCTAAGCTTCCATGACATCAGTAGGTCTAATAAAAGATGTAATATCTGCCCACATGCCTTGCTTTCCTCATATCCACAGCTCAGTCCAGCTCTGGTGTTAGAAATCTTGCGCTTTTTTCAGTACATTTAAAATGGAAATATGACAGAGCATGTTTGACTGATTGGTATTTGAAGAGAATTTTTTTTTTAATCAGATCCTAAACTCCTAGAGGGTGGAGAAGACAGGAATGTCCAGAATGTCTAGAAAATTGCATCACAGGTCCATGTCTTTCAGGATCAGCTCCAAAAGTTGGTAGATAGAGAAATCTCTTTTTATTCTGCTATATTGTTGTGGCTTTTAACCAAACCTCATATCTGCTTCATAAGTAAGCGCAGAGTGTTTGTATTCTTCACAAAAGTGTTTACAACCTATTTATTGTCCTACCTTCAGACCTTTTATTGCTGAAGAATAAAGAAACGGCATTTAAACAGGCAGTTGAGATGAAACAGGAACGCACTTCTGCATGTTCTCAGTTGCTTCCCTCAGGCTTCTTTGCCCTGTACAGAAGCAGTTCACGTTTTCCTGTAAGGCTAACAATTGTTCTCCGGCAACTGCTTTGTTGTTTGCCTAACTGTAAATGGAGAAAAAAATACTAATATTTACAAGATGCTTCTGCAGAATCATTATGTGAAACAATTCCCTTTTTCTGTCTGAGGCTGGAAATGCTGCAGAAGCATTTGATGTAGCAGCCACAGTGCGATGATGCTTGAACAGTCCTATGCAATTGTGTTGCTGCTGGGTAAAGAACAACGTTTATGAAAAGCACCAGGGCACTCCACCTCGCTTCAGAATGCTGGAATTCATTTAAACGTGTTTATAACACATCCCTGCTTTGAAAAGTACAGTGAGCTTAGGTATAAAACAGCATATTGAGGTGGTATGAGCGGTATTTATTAACCACTTGTACGTTGTTCAACCAGATCAAATGCTGTTGGATGCAAAGATGAGCCAAGAGTAGGTTTAGGGTCCAACATCTAGTCAACCTCTAGTGATTTACAATAAAAACAGAGGGGAAAAAATGAGACTGGAAAAGGACAAATAGAGTATTAAAGGGAGGGAAAAAACTTAATTTCTCTAACACTTGTATTCTTCCCTAAGATTAAATCTCAGTTCCAGTTTTTGGGAAGTTTTTGTCTACTTTGGCCTACATGGAATTGAAGTAATTTATGCCCTCCCGTCTCTGTTTCCTTTAGTCTGTGGAAAGAGAAGTTAGATTTTCTACAGACCTTCTGCGAAATGTCTATTTGAAGTAACTGCAAGAAAAAAGCACTCTTAATTTCAAGCGATTTGGAGATTAACATCCCTTGATAAAATCAAGGCTTCATTTTGGTGAAGCCGCCTGGCTGAGAGCAACAGTAAAACACTGATCCTTGTTACGACACCTTCTGCTGAATGCAAAAATTGAGGTCGTGCTCTATTTCAGTTTTACAATTCCTTCATCTCTACCTGAAATC